TGCCAACCTAGCCATTTGAAAGCATGTAAAGGCGAGTCAATAAATAGGTACCACCTCGGTGGGAAAGTCGCGGTGTTCCGTGTCTAGTCGTGCTGGCCATGTGACCACGGAAAATTGTCTTCGGACAAACGCTGGCTCTACGGCTTGGAGACAGGGATGAACACTGTGCTCTAGAGTCAGACATGACTGGACTAAATGTCAAGGGGAACCTTTACCTTTACCTTTCCTGGGCTGAACAGATCCTGCCCCTTGTCTGTATGACTGCCTTTGAAATATTTGTACAATGCTGTCCTATCTCCCCTCAGGCTTCTTTTCTCAAGGCAAAAAATGTCCAGTTCTTTCAGTCTTTCCTCCTGGCTTCCAGTCCCCTGATCATCCTATCTACCCTCCTCTGAACTTGTTCCAGTTTGTACTGGATGACTAGATGAGGTCCGATCGGTGCTGAATAGAGGGGGCCCCATTCCTGGGCTGAACAGATCCTGCCCCTTGTCTGTATGACTGCCTTTGAAATATTTGTACAATGCTGTCCTATCTCCCCTCAGGCTTCTTTTCTCAAGGCAAAAAATGTCCAGTTCTTTCAGTCTTTCCTCCTGGCTTCCAGTCCCCTGATCATCCTATCTACCCTCCTCTGAACTTGCTCCAGTTTGTACTGGATGAGTAGATGAGGTCCGATCAGTCCTGAATAGAGGGGGCCCGGTCCCTCACGCTAATGGCTTCCCTCACATGTCCGTCCACTGGATCCTATCCAGGCCTCCCTGTCTTAGATGCTGAAACAACAGCTGTCCATGCAAATTTCTCAACTTTAAAAATCAAAAGTTGAAGTAGCAGACAAAAAGGATTTATTATTAAAGATAATTAGAGCATTATGCAGGTTGAAGGATCTATTTCATTTCTGCTTGACATGCACAGCCATAGCAGATATTCCACCCCGGCCTCCATTCTAAATTGCTATGCAAATTTTCCTTTTTTTCGTTGGGTCTAAGGGGACCAGAGACAGCTGGGCTTCTCTGCTCACTCCCTGCTTCCTTCCCTTCCATTAGTTATCAGAGAAATCCATAGTAATAACCCTACAAATGAATTGAGTCCAGCAAAGCAAGCCCCAGGACAGCTGGGATGGCTGAATAATTTTGCACGTTTTCAGGAGAGAACATTTATTATCCACCCAAAAAGTAGCAACTGTCATTTTTCATCTCCTGGTGGCATGCCCCTCGCTGATCGAAGGAGGAAGATGCTTTCCTCGTCCCTTAAGGTTGTGGATATTGATGGTGCTGCAAACATTTGAAAGCAGCTAAATGCGTTTTTGCCACCCGGCTTGAGGGGGGTGGAAAGGCTTGCCAGAGGGACTCTGTGACGTTGCCGTGGGACTGGGAGAAAAACAGAAGTGCTAGATTAAAGGTTATTTGAGGCCAGTTTTTCCCAAAAGACACTACTAGAAATGGGTGAGAAATTAATTCAGTTCACATTTCAGTCCAAACTCACCACACTGGCCCTTTCAGAGCCTAAACAGGAGTCAGAAAACATGTCTACTTTGAAGGATGTACTTATTCAATATTTTTAGAGGCCTGGAAAACAGCTACCAGAAAACGGGCCTTTTCAGTGGTTGCCTCACAATTGTGGAATAACCGCCCGCCTGAAGTTCTCCTGGCCCCCTCACTATGCACCTTTAAAAAGCTATTTAAAACCTGGTTATTTAAACATGCCTTTCCTGAGCAAATAACGTGATGCAACAGGGCCTCCAATAATGTCATGTCCAAAATGGTCTTAACCGACCAGATAGGCGGGATATAAATAAAATAAATAAAATACTGCCATGTTTTTATGCTATTAAATTATATTAATGTATTGCACTGTATCTCACCATGCCTCTCACTGTATTGATGGTATTTTGGTTTGCTCTTTTAATTTATGGACGTTGTCTTATTTTGTTATTTCATTGATTCTGTCTAGTTGTTGTAAACCGTCCAGAGTGGTCTTGGCTGCCCGATGGGTGGCGTAGAAATCAAATAAATAAATAAATAATGAATTTGGGATGCAACAAACATAGTGGTATGTTGGACATGACATTATTGGAGGCCCTGTTGCATCACGTTATTTCCCCCCCCCCCCAGAAGTTTTGCATCACGTTATTTTCCCCCCAGAAGTTTACAAAAATGCTTCCTCTTCAAAACTGCATGTGAAAAATCCATATCTCGAAAAATGGGGCAAAGAATTCCAGTTTTTTTTCAACAGAAATGAAGGGTGCTTTCTTTGGTGAGCCCCCTGCTCAAATGCTTGCAATATCCCTTAAGCCAGAGATGAGCAACTTTGGCTGGCCCAGGGAATTCACTGTTCCCAGAATCCTCCATGGGCTGCACATGCAATCAAAAATGACCACAGAGAACCCCACTTTTGCTAAATGTATATTTCTTGATGTTTAATACATTGCAAACTAGCTAGAAGCAGATTCTGGGAGGAAGACCCTTAGCCCAAGTTCTTCATTCATCTTTAAACTCATCACCCTATCTCCAAGTTGTCTACCTACCACACACTATTTTGCCATTGTTGTGGAAGAATCTTTCCCCACCTGCCAGACCCCAGGATCTGACCCTGAAATCTCTGGCCAAGTTGTCACATGAGGTCTATCTATCTATCTATCTATCTATCTATCTATCTATCTATCTATCTCTGGCCAAGTTGTCACATGAGATTTCCAATCCATTCCTAAAGACAATGGGATGGGGTGGATCCAGCAACTCTATTTGCAGGAGAGATGACACGGTGTCCTAAGGACCACCTTTCAGACATCATCCGATCCTTTTGCAGAAAATGTGAGCAGAGTGGGAAGGCAACCAAAGGATCCTTGAGCCAAAATAACTTTCTCTGTGAGGTGTCAGATGGGTGTAGGAGGCAGACTAGTTAAAGGTGTGAGAGGGTCGTGGCCCACTTTGCACAGGGACAGCCCTTTTCACAATGCATCACAACCACACACTCTGTGCATTGATCCACGATGGACATCATTGCTGCCATATTTGTCTTGGAGGGGCCAGAGTTGGAAGGAAATGCATGCCATCGCTCAACACTGGGACAGTCAGCTTTCACATGTGAAACGGGCCAATGACCCACACTTTTAAACATGAAGAGCCTTGCCTATGAAGACAGGTGCCTTGGGAAACCTGCACCGTTTGGACCCTTTAAAGATTTCAAGTGGTCCTTAGAAGCTCCTCATGTAGGAGGATTGGGAGATTTTCCTGGTATGTTATAATGCCTCCAGCACGATAAGTTTAGCTCATTGCAACCATCAAGCTCAGGATTATGCTGGAACGAGAAGAGTTATAACATCTCCCTGGTCTTTCTCACTCTTCGGAGCCAGTTGGAAAAATTCTGGGAGTCAGAGTCCAATAAAGCAACTTTTCCCGAGGTAGACTCCTGCTCTCTCTGCCTATTTAACCATGTCCTTCCCTGTGTTGACTGAGACCCAGTATCTGTAATGGAGCACAGCCCACATAAGCTGGACCACAGGCTAGACTAGGCTGGTTCTTTGCCCGATCTCTGTGCTTTCAGCTGAACATCTGAACCACCATTCTGCCTGTAACCGTTGTATGAATTTGCTGTGGTAGACACAGGCATATCTCACTGCCTTTATCCGTATCCTCCATCAGCGCATGCAGATTAGTTGTCTAAACAGAGAACCTTTCATTTTAAATGTTAATTGCCTAATGCCGATGCTCGAGGGAGAAACAACAACAACCAATTAGAATCTCTCCTACCCACCCGCCCACCTGCTCGCCATAAAGATAATTTTGGCCTGATTCCCTTGAGCCCCAATATAAAGCAATTAGGCAGTTTTTCTTCCCAGCCTCCCCTCCACAATAGGAGGTATTTATAAAATCAGTTATAGCAGGAGGCAACCCATTATCCCACCTTTCTCTCCACCTGAATTATCACCTGACTGAACAGAAAAGGGCAACCATGATCACCAACTACTGAGTGAACTAACTCCCTTCTTTCTACCTCACTGCACTTCCTTGCCCTTTGTCACAATAAATGAACCAGAAGCTGACATAGACAGATCAGATCAGCTATTTGAACTGTAATTGAATATGGGATTGGGGAGTGAAGAAGGTAAGGGAAAGACGGGGTTAGATACGTGTTCCCCACAATCATCCAGATCTTAGGAGGTCAGATATGAGGAATACAATAATGCCTTCCTTCCAAAATCACAAGAGGAAGTGGCAATATTTTTCTCTAGCTGCTCGTTCCTGCCACAAACTTGTTTTTATTTTGAAATGCAACCATACGCCACTATCTCTAAGACTTTTTTTTTACTGTGTGATCTCTGTATTCCATCTCATATGACTGAAGCAGCGGGCAAAGAAGTTCCACAAAAGCTTACATGAAAATATAACAGTCTTTAAGGTGCTACAACGTTTTTGTATTTTTTTAAAAAAAAATTATGTTCACCTGATGTGGAAGGGTTGGAATCATAGACCAAAATTCAGAAAACAGAAACAAAACCGCAGGCCCAGTTTGCCTTAAATACAAACTACGGAGATGAGGGAGAATGTTACAATGTGCTTTGCATGTTAATAAGGACTATCTCTCCTCATCTGGAATTTCTAAATCACGTGTGGAAGAGCTTGGAGGAAATGGCAGGCTGGGAAGACATGTTGGGGACAAGGGACCCCAACATAATATACAGTGCAAAGGTCCAAGAAGTTAATTCCCCACCCAAATCCTGCTAAGAGCCTGCCACGATTGATAGCCTTTTTTGGAGAGACATTAAAGCAGTGAATTGGATTCAGTTTATGGAAGAGTAATTTAATCCCCTTTGCACCTCCTCCTTGTCTTTCCAGACTTAATCTCAAAGTGTCCAGGCAGCGTTTTGTCCTGCAAAATCCTCCCGGGCCACACTTTGATGTGTGAAGTCTGATTCCCTTTGCTTCCTTCCTCACCATCAACACAACACCATCCTGTTCTTCCCTTTGATTATTTCTGGCTGCTTGGACTTCATCCTCACTCACCTTGGAAAGGCCGCCAACTTCCAAATAAAAGCAGATGATGAAGATGTTCCAGGTGACCCAGACGGCCGTCCAGATGGCATACTGGAGAAAGGGAGGGGGAGAGGGACAGAAAGAAAAAAAAAGAGGGCTGTGAAATTGCAGAATAAACAGGGGTGGGGTGTGGGGGGAATAGTTCTTACATCATGGAAGTTTGTAGCATCCCATATGCTGGACATTCAGAAGATTCCTTCATGATTCCAAACATACCCAAGTCTGCTTTCTGTGTTTCTGGTATCTGGTGAGATTTTAAATCAAACCAAAATAACACACCTGGGACTAAATATTGGTCTCAATCAGAGCGGACCCACTGAATCAAAGGAACTTTGACAACTCTCGAATGAGTGCCATCGATTCGATGGATCTACTCTAGCAGAGAATAACTTAAAAACGACACTTTGAATTGTGCCTGGAAACGGATCAGCAGCCAGTAGAGCTGCTGGAACGGGGGAATTATAGGTTCCCAGTTAACCAGCCCCAGTTAACAACCTGGCTGAGGCATTTTGGACCCTCTGAAATTTTCAAATGCTTTCTGAAGGCAGTCCAATATAGACCACATTACAGTTACCAAGCCAAGATGTAGCTAGGGCATGTGTCACCATTAGACATGGTTGCTTTTTATTTGTATCTGGGAGATACGAATATGAAGCACAGCACCACAGGTGCTATGGGGGTCCATTCCCAACCACCCCCCAGAACCAGCCCGGTCCCCTCACGCACATCCATCAGCATTGTCGGGAAGCCATTCCAGCTGGCGCTTCCCTGTCTCTCCCCACAGCCGATCCTCAGCAGCTGAAATGTTTAATATTCCAGGGAGGTGTGTGTTTCAAGTGTCATTGTATCACATAGTCCAGGTTTGTCCAACCTTGACCCTCCAGATGTTCTTGGACTTCAACTCCCAGAAATCCTGGCCAGCAGAGGTGATGCTGAAGGCTTCTGGGAGCTGTAGTCTAAGAACATCTGGAGGGCCAAGGTTGGACAAGCCTGGCATAGTCCCATTTCCCCTCTCGCCTTTCCCTGTCATGATCACTGCCCTTTCCCCTGCTTTTTCAGCTGCTTTCTTACATCATGGGAAAAGGAGGAGATCCTGATGTTTCATAACACACACCCAGGTGTTATGTATACATACACATACAATCCATACGAAAATCTTCTCCATTTTGCTTATCGCTTAGCATTCTGATTCCTTCCCTTCCTTTCTAAGGTTTAGCAAGTAAATATGAGAAGGATTCAAATCAGCTAAACTAGGAGGAAAATAGTTTTTAAAATACAAATTGATTGCTTTTGTACTCCTTACTAGTGCAAGGGGGGGCAAAGAGTTCCCAACCACACTGTGTCTTGTGATGATATCTGGACACACCCATTGCTGGTTCCCAAACGATTTATATAGGTGACCAAAAGAATACAGAAGCAAGACAAGATCATGGGAGTGGAAATGCTAGCGCATACACACACACGCGGACATTGCCGGTTGATACAAAATACACCATATCCTCCTGCATGAAGGTTAGATCTACTCACAAATAACTACTCAATTAACTCCTCATATTATCCACTTGCTGCTTCACAGTGGATTCAAGGCACCACACAATCAGTTGAAACAACTCACCATAAGACATAGCATTGAAAAACAATTAAATAAGTAACAAGGTCAAAAACCAGCATCAAAAGCACTTTACTATCCCTGAATCCAATAAACACAGTATTCCTAAAAGCCTCCCTTATCACTTCAAAGTCTGTCTGAAAAGGAACTTCTAATGTTGTCTAGGACTGAAAGGAAGAGAGAGGAACAAATGCCCTCAAACAGTACAGTGGTACCTGACTCACTAGATTAAACTAGTTAGCTCAAAGAGGTTACATTATCTTCACAGGTAGTAAGGGCCCCATGTTTTTATTTTTGAAAACAAAAATAAAGTAACCACTAGGAATGGACTACAAGGAGAACAAACCTATGCATTCTGAAGGAAATTAACCCTGAGCGCTCACTGGAAGGACAGATCCTGAAGCTGAGGCTCCAATACTTTGGCCATCTCGTGAGAAGAGAAGACTCCCTGGAAAAGACCCTGATGTTGGGAAAAGTGTGAAGGCAAGAGGAGAAGGGGACAACAGAGGACGAGATGGGTGGACAGTGTCATCGAAGCGACCAACATGAATTTGACGCAACTCCGGGAGGCAGTGGAAGACAGGAGGGCCTGGCGTGCTGTGGTCCATGGGGTCACGAAGAGTCAGACATGACTTAACGACTAAACAACAAACAAGCAATGTTATTTCTTTTTCTCTCTTAAGTTACCTGCCAGCTTGTTTTTTTTTAAAAAAAGGGGAACAACCTTTTTCTCGTAAATGTTCCAGTATTTCTAAAGATTATGATTGATGCAGGCTCAAAATGTTGGAAGCGATACAGTCTACAGAGTGTTCAGTTATCGTAGTGACCGCTATGGTTTTTCTTTTTCCTTTGTTGTGTTCCTGTTAGCAGCTGACAGATCAATAAATACTGACTCTAAGAGAGCATGCTTACTCTTTACTCCTAAAGCATTTGTTTAAGGGGGTAATCTTCAGCCATCTTTAGATGTCTAAAAGAACTACATGGTATCAAGTTGATTCCAACTAACGGCGAACCTTCTCAGGGTTTTTGAATACAGCACTGAGAGATGGTTTACCATCTCCTTCTTGGGGGAGGGAGCAGAGGGCGGCTCTGAGGCTGCACAACCTGTCTTTCATCCCAGAAGACACATTGGGGAAATCGAACTCCCAAATTCTGCTCTGCAGCCAGGCAACCAGCTCATTAAGCTATTCAACCATCTCTTTTTTAAAAAGTATATTTTAAAATTAAAAAAGAAACCTGAGAAATAAAGTATAATATGGCACTAATGCGCTTGCTAATCATCACACCTCAGAAACTTGGGAGTAGCTCAATATTCTCAAGTCAAGACCCCACTGTATAATATGGCACTAATGTGCTTGCTAATCATCACACCTCAGAAACTTAGGAGTAGCTCAATACGCCTAAAAATAGCCTTGTAACTACTAATTACATCACTCATTACTAAAAAGAATTAGTTATAGGTAACTATTTTATTTGTAACTAGTTACTTGCAAGTTCTGGTGAAACACAATAACTGAAAGCAATTGACTTAATGCAAAGACTGATCAATGACTTCTTGTCTAAAATGTAGGGTTTCCACATCTCTTTTTTTTTTGGCCCAGAAACTTTGGTTTTATGAGACATTCTCTGAGCCTTAGCCTTTGGACTCGATATCTCTGGGAATGGGATGTTATCTGCCTATTTTGGCATTCATTCTCAGGGCTGTAGGGCCTGACATTCAGAAAACCTCTCAACATGTTTATTTTCTGTGGGCTTTGGAGCTCCTACTGATGGAATCTCTCACCACGTCTCTATGAAATCTCTCTAGAAATAGTTGACCTGACCCCATGACATGACGAAGGTCAACCACATGCAACCCCATAAAGGTTGCCCCAAGTTCTCAGGTTTTGGCTAAAGAATCTCTGGGAATAGGCTCTTTCTGACTTGAAAACTCTACTTCTGGGTCACTCATTTGTGAACAGAGATCTCAACATCTTCAGCAAGAAATCCCTGATACGTGTTTTCCTGCAAATCCATGGAGCTGTGAGTGAGAGAGCTAAAGTTTCTTGAAGCTATGTGTAGTGGACAAAATGGATCTCCTTCTGGACTCAAAAAATACCTGTGGTGTTGAGCACCTGCCAGCAGCTCCCTTTGACTTTAAGACAATGACTCTTGACACTTTATAACGAACTACTGGGGCTGGGGCTGTACCAATTATTGTCTTCCTGCAACACACACTCACAAACACAGACATGTTGAGACTCAGCGATGGGTAGCTCTCCCAAGCTGTCCTTTCAATGACAGGCCCAGAGGGTGATGTGATGATGTGATTGGCTTGTTTTCTTGGGTCAGAGCTGCCAGAAATATCTCAGAAAAGGACAGAGATCTCCCCTGGCCAATATACTGCAGACAGGTAGATGGCATTTTATTACTTAAGTGACAGTGCTTGCTAATGTCTATTCACCCACTGCCAGTTCTAAATTCAAAGCTGGATGGGTAAGAAGGCGTGTGTGCTAATAATCAGCCAGACCAAGATGCCTTAAAGATTGAGAGTGGATTTCCAGTATTCTCCAAATTTAGGATCAACCATGGCTCCAAAGAGATTAAAATGTTAGCGTTGTGCTGAATTTTTTTCCTGTGGGAATTTCAACCACTCTGCTTCAACTGGAAAGAAATTCCCTTTAAAAAGAGTTTCAAAAGACAAGTTTCACAAAAATACTCACCTGTGCAATTTAGAATTTCCGTGCTTACATGGAATCATGCAATCACGGGTTGGAAGGGGATCCCTGGATCATCAAACCCAACCCATTGGCAGGCAAGAGATCCATAAAGCAGCCTTACGAGGTGGCCTCGAGTTCTGTTGAAAAACCTCTGAGGAAGGAGAATCCACCGGCCTCCATAGTGGTCCATTCCCTTTTTGAGCACCTCTTACTGTCAAGAAGATCTTCCTAATGTTTAGTCAAAATCTCCATGCTTGTAATTGGAGTCTATAACTTCAGGTTCTACCCTGTGGAGCAACAGCAGACAAGGTTGCTCCATCTTCCACACCACAGCCCTTCATATGCTCGTCTTCAAAGGGTCTTCTCCAAGTCAAACATATCCATTTCCCTCAACTGTTTTTCAGAGCGCTTCATGTCCACACCTTCTACCATTCTAGTCTGTGTATTTTGTCTTGCTTATGTAGATGGCTGTCTGTCTGTCTGTCTGTCTGTCTGTCTGTGTGTTTGTTTGTTTATGTGCATGTTTGCATGGCTTGCCTTACAGTAGTCTCTGTTGTACCCTGAAGCCTCAACTGTCCTCGGCTTCCGACACTTCCAGGGGAAGATGTTATAAGGTACTGCCTGGCTGGGTTAATTAGGAGTGCACTTATGCCCAGACCCTCTCCGTTCGACCATCAAGTGATCTCTTAGGAGACCTTGATGATGACAAATGTCTTCGACAGGACTTTTTCCCATGCCAAATA